TCTATACTTACATTTGGCCAATAAAGAATTCTATTCTATTCTGTTCTGTTAGGCAGAGCTAGCGTTCATGTCTCCCTTGAAGAAGGAGGCTTAGCATTCCTGAAAGACCTTGAGTTATTTCGCACGAATTCTTAGAGCTGCAGCTAATTACAAGGTGAAATTACAGGCCTGGGGAAGGAGAGGGGTCTGCTTTTGTTCTTTGGAATGCATCCACATAAAACCTCATGGTATTTAAATCTGAGACACATAATAGCCTTTTCAGCTCTGACCTCCCTCTGGGAGCTGAAACAGGTGCTTCGTCCACTTTTAGCATCCTCATTAATTAACAACAATCTCTCTCCCTCTTTGGTAACTCTTCCAAGATTCTCTGAACATAATACTGTCTATTTGCATACTCCTGGGCTCCCAAGCTGTGCCAGGCCTGAGGAATGGAGGTGGTTAATTTGCTTAAAGGTTCCCTTCCCCCATTTTCTAAATTTGTTGGACAAGCTGTCAACTCATAAAGCATTCCAAGCCTGCTCTCGAGTTACCATAAGCAAGGGGGGGGGGGAAACTGACAGAGCTGCTCGGCTGCCACAACCAGAAGCACATTCCACTCATACCTTTATCCAGATTAGAGCCAGCAGGAGAGGCGTGTTTTCTACAGCCCGCGAAAGTGCTCCGTTGGAGATGTGATTTATGACACACCCAGGGAGGAGGGGGGAAACAGGGTCATAATGGGGCCGTAAATTATGTGGGCAGAGTTGACTCCACTTGGATAAGTGCTGACATGTTGCTCCTAATAAATAATTGGATTTCTTTTGAAACCTGGCTTGAGGCTCATGAATTAATTAGGGCATCCATCGGAACCCTGACACAAGCATTGTGAAAAATCAGGTAGAGACCCTTGATCCTCCAGATGTGGCTGGAAGACAACTTGCCTTCTACTTTTCATTCTTTTCTCTTCCCTTGCTTTTCATCCACCAATGGATAGACTTATGGAAATATACCGACCTATCAGGATCCAACTGGTGGTGGGCCTGAAAAGAAATTCAGGGCACCTTAACGGTTTGAGCCTAGTGTTCTACTCAGCTCAGCTTTTTCATAGCCTGAATATACCACCCAGCTTCAATTTTGGACTTGCTTCCAGGATTATTTTCCCATAGCTTCTCCTGCTGCACAGCTTTGCTAGTGTCGCAGATTATAGAAGTTGACAGAACTTTTTAAGAACCAAAACTTCCTGAAAGGCAGGAGTTATAAGAATAGGAAGTTCTATTAGCTTATCTATCAGTATCTATCAGCATCTGTCTATCTATCTATCTATCTATCTATCTATCTATCTATCTATCTATCTATCTATCTATCTATCTATCTATCTAGTCTGTCTGTCTGCCTATCTATCTATATCATCCTCTACACACACAAATACTTAAGAGGGATCTATCTATCTATATCTATCTATCTATCTATCTATCTATCTATCTATCTATCTATCTATTTATCTATCATGGATGGATGAATGGATGGATACACACACTTAAGATGGTTCTCTCTCTCTTTCTATATCTATCTCTCTACCTACCTACATCCATATCCATCCATCCATCCACCTACCTACCTACCTACCTTCCCTGTATCTATTACCTATTATCTATAATCTACACACACAAATGCTTCCTGTTTTTCTCACAACAATCACTCTAGCTAGAGCTGAGAGAAACTGGCCCAAATTCACCCAGCTGGCTTCCATGCCTAAGGGAGGTCTAGAACTATCGTTCTCCTGGTTTCTCAGCCAGCACCTTGACCATTACCCCCAAACTGTCCCTCTTAATGCTTTACTTGTTTTATAATCTTTGCTGGAACAATGGCTCTGCTTCTATATTCCGGACAATGATATCCTTGGTCAATGTCTGCATCTAGAAGCGGTAAAATTATTAGAATATCAAATCCTTCCATTTTTCTTAGGGCCTGTTTGCCTTACACAGCCAGCTCCCGGCTCTCCTAGTCCAAACACCTTCCTATACCCGCAAGAGATATTCCAGGATAACTGGAGAGGTTTGGCCAATAATTTTATTTTTAGTACTCACAGCTGCTGGTATTTTGGAGAATATAGGGCTTCACTTCCCACTGCTTTTCTTCCCAAAAGGAGGGGGGTGGAAATCATTTTAAAATGCTACTTCAATTAGTGTCGCAAAGGATTGCCTCAGGTACCCACGTCAATTTTTGCCACTTTGTCACCTTCGTATGGCAACAGACCAGTGGTAGGTTACTACTGGTTCGCTCCGGTTCGCACGAACCGGTAGCAGTGGTGGTGGGAGGGTCCGCCTACCCACCAGGATGTCATCAAATACGCTCTGCGCATATACAGAAGCGGTGCGCACGTGAGCGAACCAATAGCAAAAGTAAGTGAAACTCATCACTGCAGCAGGCAGCAATGACTATTTCTGGCAGATTAATTGGGTTTCGGAGTCTACAAAACATATGCCCTCTTATGTTCAAATCAAGCACGGTAGGCAAATAAAGCCTAAATATCTCTCATTTCGAGACCTTTGCTGAAACAGCATCTCTGTTAGTGAGCACATGATACACCCAAGACCAATTAACCCCATTAGCACTGTCCAAGGTCCTGAAGTTGTCATGTAGCTATCGCTCATTTAGTCATTTTGCTAGTTTGCAGTTCCAACAGTGATGAAAAAGTACCGTATTTTTCAGAGTATAAGACGCTCCGGACTATAAGACGCACCTACCTTTTTTTGGCGAGGAAAACAAGAAAGAGAAATCTGCCTCTGTCTCTGCCTCCCAGCAATTTTGCCCCGTTGCAGCAAACAGCAAATAGCCTGCTTTACTTTCATTTTCATTTTCAGCATAGCTTGATTAGCACAAAAAAAAAAAAAAACTGCTCCCAGCAATTTGCCTCCTTGCAGCAAGCAGCAGAGGCCCGCACAGCAATAGGCAATGGCGATCCCTGCAGCTTGAAACAGCTGAGAGTTGGGAGGCCGATCCAAGGGACAATCAACTTGTGCTAATTGGGCTGTGCTGAAGTTGAAATGGGCTGTTTCTTTCTGCTGCTTGCTGCAAGGAGGTAAATTGCTGGGAGGCAGAGGCCAGTGGGTAGGCGGGGCTACATTCGGTGTTTAAGATGCACCCAAATTTTCACCCCCTTTTAGGGGGGAAAAAAGGTGCGTCTTATACTCCAAAAAGTACGATAACTTTAAAAATAGAATATTTGTAGCTCCAGGTTGAAATGAGGGATCCTCGGTGCTCTCTGAGATGGTTATTATTATTATTGTTAATCTTTGGTGAGATTCACAGCCTTTGAGGCTGGTTAATAGCTCAGCAGCTCGAGTCCTAACCAAGGACCTAGGAACTGTTAAGGTATCATTTATTATATTATTATTATTATTTAATCTTTAGTGAGATTCACAGCCTTTGAGGCTGGTTAATAGCTCAGCAGCTCGAGTCCTAACCAAGGACCTAGGAACTGTTAAGGTATCGTCAGAGGATGTAAGCTGTTCCGAGTAAGGTGGTTTTTTGTAGAGTCAAAATGTTCAAGTCCGGCAAATTTAGAATTTCTAAATAGCGGGGTAGCCCTTTGGGTATTGCTCCGAGGGCTCCAATTACAATCGGGACAACACACGATTTCTTTTTCCACAGTCGTCTCAACTTCAATTTGTAAGTCCCGGTACTTTGTGATTTTTTCTCTGCTGCTTATCTTCAATTGTTGCATTATTATTATTATTATTATTATTTATTATCTATTATGATTATTATTATTATTTGCAGATGTTTTCATTACCCAACTAGCTAACATCATCAGTGCTAGATCAATCCTTGCACTGAAGTCCTTTACAGGTCTGCAAAGCAAAGGGTAACTAAAATGAGATCATAAGCACAGTTGTGTCTATGGAGATTCTCCATCATCCAGGTCATGGTTTTCCCAAAGGTGTTTTTCCAAAGGCAACTGGACTTCCTTGTTGTTGTTGTTTTTCCCTTGAAAATATTTCGCCTCGGCTCCAGGAAGCTTCCACAGTTATGAAATGAACTGATGAAGCTTCTTAGATCAGAAGCAAAACGTTTTCAAGAGGGGAAAAAAAAAACCCAAGAAAATCCCGTTGCCTTTTGAAAAGCACTTTGGAAGCACAATTGTGGTTTCACTTAGCGACTGCTTTGCTTAATGGCCAAGTTGCCGCATACGATTGCGGTCAGTAAAAGAGGATGGCCTGTAATATGTCCCTCCTATAAATAGGGTTGCCAAATTTGCGGTAAAGTTGATGGAAAAAAGGACAAAGTTGGTGCAGCAGAATGTGGTAGATTGTAGGAAAGATCATTTGATTTAATAATGTAATTTCAATAGTAGTTTTAAGACTGATTGGGTAGATGCAGGGGTGACATTATAATATAATTCTCATCATATTTAATTTGTATCTCAAATGATTGTACTTTATTCCGATTTCATTTTAGATCGTTTTTGATTCTAATTTCATTTTAAATTGTGCGTTATTCCAATTTCATTTAAATTGTTTTACCAAACTTTTGTAATAATTTTTTTTCTGGAACTCTGCACTTTGATATGGCCCAAGGGCTAATCAATAAATAAAGTTATATATACACATTGGACCCGCAAAGTGGATCTATCTAAGATTTCTTCTTAGTACAGAATAAATATATATATATATAAAGGGCCTGGTGGCTCAGCAGACTGATAGCATTGTGATTAACACCAGCTGCCTGCAATTACTGTAAGTTCGAATCTCCCCAGGCTCAAGGTTGACTCAGCCTTCCATCCTTTCTAAGGTAGGTAAAATGAGGACCCAGTTTGTGGGGGCAATAAACTGACTTTGTATAAATATACAAAAGGATGAAGGCTATTGCTTAACGCATTGTAAGCCGCCCTGAGTCTCCGGAGAAGGGCGGCATATAAATCAAATTAAAACAACAACAACAACAACAAAAAACTGAGATATTGAAACTGCATCTGATATGCACAAAGTCAAGAGGAAGCTGCGTTTTTCTATGCTTACCTACTGCTTTTAGAGATGCATACTTATTCAGTTCCTTTCCAGGAGGCTGTTGTTCGTATGGATTTGTAATCTGTCCCATGCTTGGGTAAGAGTGTGGGTGAGCCAGTTGTGGAAGCAGAGGTGATGTCGGTACGACATTATTCATCTGGGTGGCATCTGTGGGGGGGGAAAAAATAGAAGAAGTCACCTTTTCTGAAAACAAATAGGATTTCAGCCAGAGTCCAAGCAAGCAAAAAAACAAACAAACCCATGATAAACACTGCAGACCAGCTCATTACCGTATTTTTCGGAGTATAAGGCGCACCGGAGTATAAGACGCACCTTAGTTTTTGGGGAGGAAAATAAGAAAAAAGCTGATTGGCGGGTGGATCGGCCTCCCGGAATACCCCCAATCAGCTGTTCCCAGAGGTGAATTTTAGCAACAGGTTCATTGGTTATGAGCTCTGTGCCTTGCTTCTTTTTGCTTGTTTTTCTGCCTCTGAAACTTTTTCCTGTCTCTGAAAGCCTCCGAGACAGAATTTCAGAAAAAAAGCCTCTGAAGCTCTGTTTCTGAGGCTTTTTTTCTGCTGCTCTGTTTGGAGGCTTTTTTTCTGCAGCTGTTTGGAGGCTTTTTTTCTGCAGCTCTGTTTGGAGGCTTTTTTTCTGAAGCTCTATTTGGGGGGCTTTTTTCTGCAGCTTTGTTTCTGGTGCTTTTTTCAGCCTCTGAAACCTCTGTTTGAGAAGCTGGGCGGGGCTACATTCGGAGTAAAAGACGCACCCAGATTTTCATCCTCTTTTTTGGGGGGGGGGGGGAATTTGTCAATGCCAATGGTGTTCAAGTGGTGCTCCAGTTGTTTTGGGACTCCACCCAAGGCACCTATTACTATTGGTATTACCCTTGCTTGCCTTTGCCATAGTCGCTCTATTTCTATTTGTAGGTCTTTGTATTTTGTTATCTTCTCCAGTTCTTTCTCTTCCATTCCGCTGTCTCTAGGCTCTGCCACATCCATCATCATCATCATCATTATGAAGGTATCCCTCTGTTTCAAGCCCCATGTGAAAGAAACCATTTTTCCAGCCACTATGCTATTCTCTCCCTCCCTCCCTCCCTCCCTCCCTCCCTCCCTCTCTCTCTCTCTCTCTCTCTCTGTTGTATTGTATTGTAGCACTAGAAAAGAATACTTATAGCTCAGGTTTGAACGGTGGGATCTTTGGTGCTCCCTGAGCTCAGTTTGTTTTCTTGCAGACGTTTCATTACCTAACTGAGTAACATCCTCAGTGCTAGAAAGGAGTGGGGCTTGTCCTCTTCTTTGTATTGCATTTAAACACTGGCTTGCAGCCATAGCTTTGAGCAAGTTGCATATAAAACTACAGCAATCCTATCAGCTCAATGCATCCGCTCTAATATTCACAGCACTGTTTTCCAGAAGGTGCTGTTTTTTTGTATCTTCCTTGCCGCCATTGCCAAAAATGCAGGAGTGAAAAAAATCCAGCAGGTTCTGAGAGGTTCTAGGAAATCGGTAGTGGAGATTTTGAGTAGTTTGGAGAACTGGCAAACACCATCTCTGGTTGGTCCCAGAGTGGGGTGGGAATGGAGATTTTATGCAATATCCTTCCCCTGGAGTGGGGTGGGAATGGAGAGTTTGCAGTATCCTTCCCCTGCCACGCCCACCAAGCCACGCCCCCCAGAACCGGTAGTAAAAAAAATTGGATCTCACCATTGCAACAATGCCACGTTTTTATCACATGGTTGTCTTCATCGGACAACAACAAAAATAGATTCTCCCCCCCCCTTCTTCTAATCTAGACGGATTCCGTTGGATTAACCTGAGCGTAATGAATTTAGCTCTAGGTGCCTCGTAAAATTTGCAGTGTAGTAACTCATGAGTCAAATCGTCCACCTCTAAGTGATTAGAGGTGTTGTGTTTTTAAATTGGCTGTACACCGCCCTGAGTCCTTCGGGAGAAGGGCGGTATAGAAATAAAATTATTTATTTATTTATTTATTTATTTTATTACTAGCCGGAAGGTGTCTCTGGGTTGCAAGCTGATTGTGAAGGACACTTGGCTACTCCAGCGACTCTGCTGTTCTCCCTTCCTTTAGAACCCTTTGCATTCAGCTCCCTTCCTAGGAGCCCACAAGAAAAACAGCAAAAAAATGAAATGACTGCTCGGGGCGTGCCTGAATTTGGCTGTGTTTCTCTCTCTCTCAATGGAGCCTGGAGTGCTTATGCCCCCGAAGGAGGAATTGTCAACAAGAGAAGCAAAGAGCCGGGTATATGTGCAGAGTAAGGCGAGACAGAGGAAAGAAGCAGGAAACAGAATCTATTACTAAATAAGCAGTTGCAAAGAGAGTAGAAAATGAAAGGAGACAAGAAACGGAAGAAAACAAAGTCGGGGAGTTAAGAGAGGGTGGAGAAAGAAAGTTGCATCTATTTCCCCCCCCCTCTTTTGCATCCTCGAAGTCAGCCCTGCAATTTCACCCCATAATAATTAGAGAGAGGGAGGAAGTGGAGAAATCGACACCCTATTTTTGTGGGGTCTGCGTCAGAGGGCTATTACACAGTAGAACATGCTTGAAAGGGGGGACAATAGATAGATAGATAGATAGATAGATAGATAGATAGATAGATAGATAGATAGATGATAGATAGATAGATAGATAGATAGATAGATAGATAGATAGATAGATGTAAGATTAGATGGATAGATATATTTCCATTAGATAGTCAGATAGAGACAGAGATATAGATAGAGGATAGATAGATAGATAGATAGATAGATAGATAGATAGATAGATAGATAGAGACAGATATTGATAGATGATAGATGATAGATGGATAGATAGATAGATAGATAGATAGATAGATAGATAGATAGAGGATAGATAGATGTAAGATTAGATGGATAGATAGATATCCATTAGATAGTCAGATAGAGACAGAGCTATTGATAGATGACAGATAAATATACACTGCTCAAAAAAATAAAGGGAACACAAGCAGAAGACATCCGAGATCTGAATGAATGAAATAGCCTTATTAAATACTTTGTTCTTTACATACAGTAGTTTATACACTGCTCAAACAACTAAAGGGAACACAGAATTACTGTATGTAATGAACAAAGTATTTAATAAGGCTACTTCATTCATTCAGATCTCGGATGTCTTCTGCTTGTGTTCCCTTTATTTTTTTGAGCAGGATAGATAGATAGATAGATAGATAGATAGATAGATAGATAGATAGATAGATAGATAGATAGATAGATAGATAGATAGATACAGGGGTGAAATACTCCCGGTTCGCACTGGATCGGGCGATCCGGTAGCGATCATGGTGGCTGGTTCGGCGACCCCGTAGCGATGGGGGAGCGAAGTTTCACTCACCCACCTGGTTGTTGTTACTTCCTGGTTTTAACCAGGAAGTAATGTGTTCATTACCTTCTGCACATGTGCAGAAGGTTTGCGCGCGCATGTGACATGCGCTTCTGAACCAGTAAGGAAGGTAAGTATATTTCACCCCTGGATAGATAGATAGATATAGATAGATAGATTAGATGGAGAGAGAGAGAGGGAGAGGGAGAGAGAGACATCTTAAATGATTAGGTACACATTCTTGAGATGTAATTAAAAATGATAAGAATTGTCCAAAATATGGGGAAGTCTCATTCAAATGTCAAACCTTGCCGGATCTTGAAATTAATCGGAAGGGGTTGTAAATGCTACGGCATATTAGAGGCCACAATGTCAAACTTTGAGACGAGAAGACGATGGCATGTGCAAGAGTTTGCTGCCTTCGTCAGGAAGGAAGCAACAGATGTGCAGGTAGTCCTCGACTTACGACCACAATTGAGCCCAACATTTCCATCGCTAAGCGAAACCGTTGCTAAGTTGAGTTTTGGCTCGTTTTATGACCTTTCTTGCCACGGTGGTTAAGTGGATCACTGCAGTGATTAAGTTAGTGACACGGTGGTTAAGTGAATCTAGCTTCCCCACGGACTTTCCTGGTCAGTAGGTCGCAAAGGATGATCACATGACCCGGGGGGGGGACACCGCAACCGCCATAAATATGAGCCAGTTGCTGAGTATCTGAGTTTTAATCATGTGATCATGGGGATGCTGCAACAGTCATAAGTGTGAAAGATGATCCTAAATCGATTTTTTCAGGGCTGTTGTAACTTTAGGTAAAGGTAAAGGTTCCCCTCGCACATATGTGCTAGTTGTTCCCGACTCTAGGGGGCGGTGCTCATCTCCGTTTCAAAGCCGAAGAGCCAGCACTGTCCGAAGATGTCTCCGTGGTCATGTAGCCGGCATGACTCAACGCCGAAGGTGCACAGAACGCTGTTACCTTCCCACCAAAGGCGGTCCCTATTTTTCTACTTGCATTTTTTTACCTGCTTTCGAACTGCTAGGTTGGCAGAAGCTGGGACAAGTAACGGGAGCTCACCCCGTGATGCGGCGCCCGGGATTCGAACCGCTGAACTGCTGACCTTTCGATCGACAAGCTCAACGTCTTAGCCCCTGAGCCACCGCGCCCCTTCTTGTAACTTTGAACATGACTAAACGGATGGTTCAAGTCTACCTGTAACAGGAAGGGCCTGAGCTTGCGTTGTGATGCTGCCGCCCCGATGTCGTCATTCCTTCTGCCATCCTTGCTCATCCCCAGCGGCTGCTGAAAGGTTGGTGCATTATAATGTACCGCATGATAACATACTGCAGTCCTGCCCGTGTGTGTTGACAACGGGTTCTGAGTTCTGGCTCCCCATCAATCAAAGCGTCTCGTTCTGTTTTCCCATCTCGCTAATGACAAGTTTGAAATCAATGAAAGCCTCCCGGTGGATGACAATAGCAAGCCATTTTCATATTCGTGCCAAGGAAATTACGTGGACGGGGTCTATGAAATCAGCCAACGTTGAGCTCCTAGGGAGGGGACGTTGACATTTACACCAGAAAACCGGCCAAGGATTTATTTTTAAAGGCCTCCTCCCCTGCTGAGCCACCAGAGGGGCCTGGTGGCTCAGCAGACTGATAGCATTGTGATTAACATTCAGCTGTCTGCAATTACTGTAAGTTCGAATCTCACCAGGCTCAAGGTTGACTCAGCCTTCCATCCTTTCAAAGGGGGGTAAATTGAGGACCCAGTTTGTGGGGGCAATAAACTGACTTTGTAT